AAGAAAGAAAGAAAGAAAGAAAGAAAGAAAGAAAGAAAGGAAGGAAGGAAGGAAGGAAGGAAGGAAGGAAGGAAGGAAGGAAGGAAGGAAGAAAGAAAGAAAGAAAGAAAGAAAGAAAGAAAGAAAGAAAGAAAGGAAAGAAAAGGAAAGAAAAGAAAAGGAAAAAAGAAAGAAAGAACCTCCCTGAATCCAATCGATGTAGAGACATCCTCTCAGCTTCTCATCAGAGTCTTCAGATGACTTCCTAGATGGAATCCTAACAGCTTCCATTCATTATGTAAAGACCAATTCTAACACTGTAGGCAAGGCTCTAGTGTGCCAGGGACTTGCCTCCCACTACTAAGTGTATTTATCATCAGATCCTCTCTCGTTATATTTCTGAATGTAATTATAAATTTTAATTAAATATTACATAATCCAATAATTTTGTTGTAATTGTGTATTTTAACTAAAAATATAATACAATAAAATTTATATTTGTATTATACACAAATATACATATATACAGAAATACAGTTGATAGAACTATAGCTATGTGATACTTTTGGTCAAATTGGTGTGAGTAAGGTCACTGTAAAACATTGAAAGAAATTTTATAATAGTTTAGAAGATTTCTCCCTTTGGCTGTTTCTCCAAATGTCTTTTCTGTCTTGCTTCATTCTAAAGAAATTAAAAAATTAAGCAGCTTTGTGAGCACAACTGTTTAAGAGACACATTTGGCATTTGGTTTTCAAATAGGAAAGCAACCGTACAATATGACAAAATATGGATAAACCTGGAAGGCACTGTGCTAAGTGATAGAAGCCAGACTGAAGGAAGAAAACGGTATGATGCCAGTTGTACGAGGAATAGAATAGCCTTTAACAACCCCCAGAGAGTGGCACCGTGGCTGCAAGAATGGACCATGGGGAACTGATATTTGATTAGCGGGAAGTCTCAACACACAAGACTAAAGGGTTCTAGAGATCTCCTGTGTATCACCATTGTCCTGGTTGGGTTTTGTTAACTTGACATAAATCTAGACATATCTGGGAAGAGGAAATCTTCACTGAGAAAATGCCTCCATAAGATTGGCCTGTAGGCAAGTCTGTGGAGCACTGTGTTGATTAATAATTGATATGGGAAAGCCAGCCACTGAGGACAGTGCAATCCCTGGGCAAGTGGTTCTGAGTGGTATAGACGGCAGGTTGAAAAAGTCATTGGGAGCAACGAAGTAAGCAGCCCTCCTCCATGGCTTCTACTCCTGTTCCGACCTCCAGGTCCCCGACTTGAGTTCCTTCCCGCCCAACTTCCCTCAGTGATTGAGTGTGAACTGAGAGATGTAAGCTGAAATAAACTTTCCTTGTCAAGTTGCTCTTGGCCATGATGTTTTATCACAGCAATAGAAAAGTAACTAAGACAACTATTCCTAACATTAACAACATTGGATTATGCATTAAAATTGTTGTTGAGGGTGTATCTTGAGTTAAATATTCTTACTATAGTAAATAAAGTTTAAAAAAAAAAAAAGACAAGCAGAGGTGGAAAAAAGCCAACTAGGAAATCTAATCAGTGGATCTCCAGACACAACCAAGACCTTAGCCCTACACAGAAAGATTGTTACCCAGTTCCACATCACCATCACTTCCTCCTGACAAAATTTAATCACTCACGATGCCATTCCTAGGTAGCTTGCCTGTACTTGTTGGCTGATGTTTGTATACCTGGTCAGTTGCTAATACCCAGGAATCCCGAAGGCAAATCCTATTCGTTGCCTATCCATAGCTGTTAAGAAACCCACAATTTAGTTGAACACTGACAAAATGGGAAGCATGGATAGCTCAGGTCCTGGCATATGATGTGACTCCCAACTGTCCTCCAAGAGCAGTACAACCAGAGCAGGGAGAGCTGAAGGATTTCTTCCAAGTAGCTTATCTTGGTACCACTGATGTAAAACTCTTCATTCGCTGTCCATCAAAAGCAAATGGCCTTCAGAGGTTAGTACCACGTAGGCTCTTCATTGGTTGAACAATATCAAGAAAGTGACACATAAGCAGGATGTTGGAGGTAGGATTAAATAAGAGAAAAATCCAGGGGACACAAGGAAGTGGAGGAAGAATACGTCTGGGATCCTTTCATTCTCACAAATACTTCTTGAGTATCTTCTGAGACATCTTAACCCCTCTGCTTGTGGACAGATAATAATAGTAGTGATCAATTATAATAACCCAAAATACAGAGTCACTGTGCCAGGTGCTGTCTAAAATGTGTTAGCCATAGCAACTTATTTTCCACAACATACTGATGAGATGGGCATTTATAACCATCTTCCGCTTACAGATGGCAAAGCTGAGATCAGGAGGAGTGAGGGGACTTTCTCAAGATTTCACAACTGGTGGGTACTAACATGGAACTGGAACCTAGGCCAGTCTTAATTAGCAGTTTAGACTAAGCCAAGACAGCCCACCCACACTCATTAGCAAGCTCAATGCTTGGCATTAAGTGACTCAAACATAAGGTATCTCGGTGTTTACAGTCTTCTGGGAAAGACAGACATATGCACCAATACTACAGACCAGTAGACAAGTGGCGTCTTAGAGATAAATGAAATCTAAGCATAGGTGGCATGGACCAATCAGGACACGTGGGTCTCACAAAGGAGGTGCTTCATTCTGGAATGATGAATATGAGTTTGCCAGGCAGGGGAGAGAAAAGAAGAAACAAAACCCTCCTTAGGAAATACCAAGTTGCCATGTTGCCCTGGATGGCTGGGGATCTGGAAAGGTGGGAGAAGATGGAAGAAGATGAACTGTAGGAGCAGAGTGAGTAAACTATGAAAGTTTCAGGCTAAGCAGTGAAGAGGAATAGAAAGGCAATGTTTCTTGTGATGACTGTCCCAGAAAAGGTATGCATTGAAGGAATACAAATCATGGGAGAAAATGAGAAGATCTTGCTAGGATATATAAAAGTGTCACTCCGGCAACATGGTGGACTTTAGGTGGCAAAGTGGGCAGACAAATTGAAAAGATGCACCTAAGAAACTTTCAGGATTACCCTGATGAACAAGAATGAGGATGGAAACCCAGAAGGTAGAAGATAAATATTAAAAAGAAATTCCAGAATGCCAAGATTAACATGTTGTGGGGACTCACCTTAGCAAAGAGAACAACATGTAACCACACATTAATCATTCAGAAGATAATGCAGTGGGATCACCCCTCCAAAGCCAATTCATCTTGGCTTGGCTGAATAAATCATACTCAATTGAGAGGAAAGTTGCTATTTTTATGCCTTATATTTATATCCATGTGCTACGCCTTGCCATGAAGGATTTGAGGCGTCTGGAAAATCACCAAATGACATGCAGCATCTGATGACAAGGGGCTTACCAAAGGAACTCTTGCAGCCATAAATCAGCCGCTCCTGTCAAGGAGACAGGTTCAAGTCGAAGATAGCAAGAAACATCCTTTATGGCTAGCTCCAGGCTCCAAGTTGCTCTCCTGCCCTTTATCTGCAGAAACAAAGGTTCAGAACGCACCCATCTTGCTGGGCTGCCAGCTTGAGCCTTTCTGTGGGAAAATGAAGAGATATTGAAACTGGCAATGAGTTTCAACTAGAGACCAAACACCTTTTCCTGGAAACACCTAGAATTATGTAAGGCTTGTAAATAAGTCAAGATTTCCAAAGAGACAACATTTTAATCTTAAAATAGATGAAGCCCCAGGAAGGTGAAGCTCTGAAGACCTTTGTGGTGTGTTTGGACACGATGTTTGTTTTTTTGTTGTTTATGTTTTTTATGGCCTTAATCTCATTCAACTCATCTTAACTACAGATGAAACTGGAAATGAATGGTCTCCATTTTACACACAAAAGAACTGAAACTCAGAGGTGAATGTCACTTCCTGAAGGTTATTCTACTCCTCAATTCAAGAAAAGCCTGTGTTAGAAGAATAGGAAGATCTCACATTTATAGTAGCTGGAGTATGCTGCATCTACATTGAATTCTGATACCATCCTATGGAGATATAGCAATGCCTAAGTGTTCAGAACATTAAAAGTTCTTATGAATCGATTTTAAAAAGTAGACTAATAAAAATATAAGCAAAATTTTAAGTGTTCCTTCTAAAAACAGAAGAATTTGACAATATATCCTTGTCATGAGAAAGAAAGGTCATGTTAACCCATGCTGATTTTTTAAAAGGTAGATGTTTTAAGTTGCAAAAAAAGTTCTGCATTTGTTCATGCATAAATTAATTTCCATGTTGGTAACTCTATATGTATCTATATACACTGAACATTAAAAATTGAAAATATCTGAAACACTGGATATTTGTGTCTCTATAGACTTATAGATTTATTTAAAAACACACAAACATATAATACCCCACAATAATAATTCAAGTGTTCAAGCTGGGATGTGCTCCTAGGTACTGAGTTTTATATGACCTCAACAATGCTTCTACTTCTAATGCTCTAGAACTGGTTTCTACGCAATGGGTCATTGTGGGCTATTGTTCAGGTACTCACAGGGTGAATCAGTATGGACAATTATTATGACAATTGAAGTGATGATCTCAAATGAATCATTGTCATTTATTTTTAAATTTTTGGTTGGTTTGTTTGTTTTTGCCTTTATTTTTTTCTTTGTTGAGGCAGAGTCTCATTGTTTAGCTCAGGTGGGCTTAGAACTCAAGGCAAAGGTCCTGCTTTAGCTGGCTTCTCAAGTTCTAAGTGTGTATGTATTGCCATATGTGGCTTATATTCCATTTGAAATATTTTTTAAATAGAAATTAAGTTTGACTTTTGTGTACATTTAAAGATGTCTCATTATTTTCTCTTCATCTTATTTCTTTTTAAATTTTTTTATTTTCTTTTCATTAAGGAATTTTTTATTCATTTTACATACCAACCACAGATCCCCCTCTCTTCCCTCCACAGCTGTTGTTCTAAAATACATGAGTTCCCACT